TCACCTTCGGAGCTGGTGATATAGTTACAGTTACATTGGGTGTTCATATTGATGGATATGCCGCAAATGTTTCGCATACAGTAGTTATCTATCCACCTGGAGTTACTATTGACAACGAATTGAAGCCACCAGGACCATTATTAGGATCAAAGGCCGATTCTATCTGTGCTGCCCATATTGCTACTGAAACTGTAGTTGCATTATTAGGCTTGGCATTAACTCCAGAAAAATTACCTACACAATTGGACCCAAATAACACCAAGTTAGTTACTGGTAAGCAAATTAGAGACATAGTAAACTCTATTGCTGAGTCATTCAACTGTACTGTTGTTCCAGGTTCAAAGGTTAGAAGAATCAGAAGATTTTTAGCTGGTCAAGCTGAAGGTGTGGTTGCTGAAAAGGACTTCAAAGGTGTAGTCTGGGGCGAAGCCGACCAAGAAGAATTGTTATTAAATAAATACAACAAAAACGACGACCAACAATTAGTCTTGCACAACAAACAAAGAAGTGAATTCACTAACAACTCGTCTGCTATCCCTACCGATGAGTTTGTGGTTGCTGCAGGTGAGGTCTACAACGTGGATATCAAGATGTGCTCTACCAGCGAATTTAAGGAACTCGGATTGGTCACCTTGGAAGAAATTGACGAATTTACCGGTGTCAACAACAAGACCAATGAATTCAAAACAAAATCCACCATCTACATCAGAGATTACGCTGTGAACTATCAATTAAGATTGAAGAACTCGCGTTCGCTCTTGGGTAAAATCGACAAAGAATTCACCGTATTCCCATTCAAGTTAAGCCACACATCCCCTAGTTACCCTGTCACCAACGCCCAAGATCTCGCCACTCTCAAGAAAGAATTGGTCGCCAACAAATTGGGCTTGTCCGAGCTCGCTAACAGACACTTGATCAACGCAAAACCAATCCAGGTCACCAAGTTCATTCCATTCGAAACCATCTTGAAGACCTCCAACCCTTCCGGTAAGCACGGTATCGACTCCAACAAGCCTGCCTTGCCCGGTATGGAGATCCCATTGCCTAACCTCGGCATCTCATCATTGAAGTTGAAGTCCTTGTTGAAAAACTCCTCCTCCATCGCAAATGCCAGAGAACTGACCACCGTTATATTAAACTCCTTCAACAACTCCAACGAAGTCATCAGATTGACTGGTGGTAACAACTCCGCTCCGTGCTGGGTCCACTCCGACTACCTGTTGAACTCCCACTGCAAGGAATCTGTCGACTATTTGCTCCAATTGTCCAAAGACAAGCGTTTCGGAATCAAGGTTAAAGAGTGCCAGCCTATGAAGCTCGCCGCCGACGTCCCGGAATCGATGCAAATGGACTAATTTCTCTACAATCTCTGCTGATTTTCCCAGTTTCCTTTTTTTTGCATCTTGTATAGCTAGCTTTCACCACTCCCAGTGGGTCCATGCCGTTACCCTTTCTATCACTCCCGGTGGACCGGAATACACACTAACACCGTACGCACGTGAACTCCCGTAACTAGCCCGTTGCTTTTCCGAGGATCCCTCCCTCGTATAGCAAGTATTAGCTAATCATCATGACGAAATGGGTCGTCTGGCTCCGAGGTTTTGTGTCATTGGATCTTTTGTGTCATGCACGCCGGTTTTTTTGGACGTTCAAACTTCTGACCACTCTCAGGAAGTGTTTCTGAAATAAACATACCTGTCAATTATATCTTTTATTTTTGTTACTTATATTTTAAAAATCTAATTAATGTATGTAATTAATCGAAACGTGAAACGTAGATGGTTGTTTGAAGACGTGGAAAGATGAATTGAAGCGGAATGAGAGAGAGAAATCGAATGTTGATTTCGTTTTGATTTAGCCCCTTACAATAGTGGGAGGCGGGGGTGGTAATTTTGAAGAATTTGCAAAAGAGCCAAAGTTTCGGTAGGAGGAGATATTGAAATGGGAGGAGGAATACGTAGATGAGGAACCGGTTAATTGATTGATTGATTGATTGGTTAATTGGGTAGATGGGGGACAAAAGTGATATCAGACGGGCGCTGCGCAGCGGATTTAAATTGCTTAGCGCTCACCACGAATTCAAAACAAACCAAGGAGAATTGATTTTGACGGATGTATGTTATTAGAAGCAAATACTAACTATATATAGACCATGCCTACCTTAAGAGAAGATTCTGTTTATCTTGCCAAATTAGCTGAACAAGCTGAACGTTATGAAGAAATGGTTGAAAACATGAAGACCGTTGCTTCATCTGGCCAAGAATTGTCTGTTGAAGAACGTAACTTGTTGTCAGTTGCTTACAAGAATGTTATCGGTGCACGCCGTGCATCTTGGAGAATCGTGTCGTCGATTGAACAAAAGGAAGAAGCAAAGGGTAACGAAAGTCAAGTTTCTTTGATTCGCGACTACCGTTCCAAGATCGAAGCTGAATTGTCCAAGATCTGTGAAGACATCTTGTCGGTTTTAACCGACCACTTGATTTCATCGGCCCAAACCGGTGAATCCAAGGTTTTCTACTATAAAATGAAGGGTGATTACCACCGTTACTTGGCCGAATTCGCCATTTCTGAAAAACGTAAAGAAGCTGCTGACTTATCGTTAGAGGCTTACAAGTCCGCATCAGATGTTGCTGTGACCGAATTGCCACCAACTCACCCAATTAGATTAGGGTTAGCTTTGAATTTTTCTGTTTTCTACTACGAAATCTTAAACTCCCCAGACAGAGCCTGCCATTTAGCCAAACAAGCATTCGACGATGCCGTTGCTGACTTGGAAACTTTATCTGAGGACTCTTACAAAGATTCTACTTTGATTATGCAATTATTGAGGGATAACTTAACTTTATGGACTGACTTGTCCGAAGCCCCAGCCCAAGCTGAAGAACAACAACCTTCAGAATCAAAAGCCGATGAAGAATAAATGAACCATGTTATAATATAAAGTATTGTTATTATCATTATTATTAGTAGTATTATAATTTATTGTTTGAATTATTTGTTTCTGTTTATTTTAACTTCCATTAGCTCGCAATAATCTAGTTTTTGAAATTTTTTGTTATCAGTTGTTTTGCGACTGTATTATTGTTTTTTATGTCCGTTGGCTTTGAAGGGCTTAACTGATTTCTATTGCAAGTTTATTGAGTTATTATAACAATATATATGTAATACATATATATATATATCTATATACAAATGTTACTGATGCAAAATAAATTGTCTTGTTTACTCTACTTAATAAATTGTAAGTGAATCACAGTCCTCGAGAAAATTTCTACTCAAGAACCTTGGACACTTTTTAGTTGTACTGGTCTACATCCATCTTGCCCTACTATCTGTTCTAATTCTACAATTCTGTTGACATTGCCTTCTCATACAATCAATGTTGTCCGTAAACGCGTTTTTCTGGACCGCTGCCATTTTTCGTCGGGTCTTAAAATCATTGACGAGATTTCGAAAATAAATAATGTCAATAAATAGGTATAAGACTTAGACAATAATAGTTGATTCAATACTAAATTAGAAAAATAATGCCTGAAGCTGTTGGGATTGCAAATTTGCCTAATCAAAGGTATGTTCAATAAGTGATGACAATATACTAATCGATAAATTATTGTATATGTGAGATATAATTAAGGATTACGTGTACTAACATTCTAGGTATAAACTTGTTTTTAAAGAAGGAGCCAACTTCACATTGATGGTTGCAGGTGAAGGCGGGTTAGGTAAAACTACATTTATTAATACGTTGTTTCAATCGGCGTTGAAAAATTATCAGGAACCAACCGAGAGACATTCTAAATTTACCAGTTCTCACCAAACAGTGGACATCGACATAGTCAGAGCGATCTTGGAAGAAAAGAACTTCAAGATTAGATTGAATATCATCGACACTCCAGGATTTGGTAATAATGTAAACAATCATGATTCATGGACTCCGATTATTGACTTTATTGACGATCAACATGAGTCTTACATGAAGCAAGAGCAACAACCACATAGAACTAACAAGAAGGATCTCAGAGTCCATGCCTGTTTATATTTCATCAGGCCAACCGGACATACTTTGAAGCCGCTTGATATCGAAATTATGAAGAGATTGTCCAGTAGAGTTAATTTAATTCCAGTTATTGCTAAGTCAGATACTTTGTCGCCTAAGGAATTAGATGCGTTCAAGAGCAGAATAAGGGATATCATTGAAGCCCAAGATATTAATATTTATACTCCTCCTTTGGAATTGGATGACCCTGCTAGTGCCGAACACTCCAAACAGTTAATTGAAAGTATGCCTTTTGCTGTCATTGGATCTGAAGAAGAATTCGAAACCACTCCTGGTAACTTTGTAAAGGGTAGAAAATATCCTTGGGGTCTTGTTGAAGTGGAAAATGAAAACCACTGTGACTTCAAGAAATTAAGAAGTTTATTATTAAGAACTAATATGTTGGATCTTATCTTATCTACAAATGAAATGCATTTTGAAACCTTCAGATCCTTGAAATTAGGTGATGAAGAGGAGAGTGCAAACGGTAAAGAAATCACTGAAACCGATGAAAATGGTGAAGTGATTAAGAAACCTGCTAATTACAAGAAACCAAGAAGATTATACAATCCTAAATTCAAGCAAGAAGAAGATGCTTTAAAGAAATTTTTCACTGAGCAAGTCAAGGCTGAAGAACAAAGATTCAGACAATGGGAGACAAATATTGTTAACGAAAGAAATAGATTGAACCAAGATCTTGAAGAGATGCAATCTAAATTGAAGACTTTAGAAGATCAAGTTAAAAAATTACAATTAAATAAACGCTAATTTATTTTGTTTTATAGTGAATAAATGTATCCTATTTAAATATCTTTACGATGACTTCTTGTAGCTTTACTCTTCGAGGTTTCAGATCTGACTTCGGTAAGCATCAAGTGCGGGTTTCGGCGGATAAAATAAATTAGTATATTGTATCGCTTTTGAATAATAAGACAATCAATCATAGTTGTTTCATTATATACTAATGAATTCACAGCACCAGTCGCCATCTGATACTAATCAGATACTGCCTGAAGATCATGGGAAATTTTCAAGATCTGAGTCGCCATCATCAAAAAAGTATAAGAGAAATTATAGAGCATGTTTGAATTGCAGGGTTCGAAAAGTTAAATGTGATTTAGGCTCAGTCGACAACCCACGGGATGGAAAATGTGCAAGATGCTTAAGGGAACGTAAGGATTGTGTATTTGTTGAATCAAGGAGAGGAGGAGCCACAAATGTGATGAATGGGAGGAAGAGGAGATCTGAGGGACATAACGAATATCCTACACAATATGAACATTCTAATGATGGTCCATCTATGCCACGGAGAAGCTTACCTTCTGTTACTAGTATTCTAAATGAAGAAAAAAGGGCAGTATCTTCCGACGAGCAAACACCGATACACAATGGGCAACAGAGTAACCATGGTAGCGGAACCGAGCCAAACAATCACTTTTCGACTATGGAAGGTGCATTAGTATTCCTTGCTAAAGCAGCCGGCACAATTGCCAAAGCTGATGAAAGAGATAATATTGATGCTCGAGCAAAACATGAGCAAATTGAAGCGAGAATTAGTAATGACAATTCCGTGGTGAATTCTGACAGCAGTTCAAAAAACGTCAATGAAAATAACTTTGAATTAGCTGCACCAAACAATTCTAGTAATCATAGTATTGATAGCACTAAATATTCATCACCAAGCATTACTTCCTATACCAAACCATTAGATATAGGTAAAACATTATCTATGCCGGCTGAAAGTGGGTATATGGTACGCCCCAAAGGATCTAACAAGCTAGGAAATATTGAATATATTGGTGGTCCAAATGGTATTTTGACTGAAGATGAAGCTGAAACGTTGATCCATTTGTTTTTCACTACGATGCATCCATATTTCCCATACATACCCAAGTTTTTACATTCTCCTACTACGTTATCAGGATACCCTATTTTGCTTTGTGCAATTTTGACAATAGCATCTCGTCATTATACTTTGGACACTCATCCGAATACTAGTGGTGTTGCTCGAAATATTGAAGTACATGATAGATTATGGTTATATGTACAAAGATTAATTTCACAGACTGTTTGGGCGGAGGCAAGTACAAGATCTATTGGAACAGTCTTTGCATTTTTATTATTCACTGAATGGAACCCAAGAGCTATTCATTGGAGGTGGTCCGATTATGCCAATAAAGCAGAAGATATTAATGAAAATAGTTCAAGTGCTTCTAATGAATTTGGAACTAGTCTCTCATCCACTCAAGATGAGCCTAACCTTGCTGGGTTAGGTGCAATGAGGAGAAGTTATAGAATGGCGTGGATGTTGATTGGGTCGGCGGTTAGACTAGCACAGGATATGGGATTCATGGAAATAAGCACAAGGACGTTCCTAGCAACACACATAGCTGAGATTAATAGTGTTATGAATATAAGTAGACGATCTATGTTAGGTCACTCCTTATCAGAAATTGATATTGATGATGATGAGATCACTGAAGAGCAGGAACAGGATGAAGAAGAAAATGAATATAAATTTTTACATATGAATGAAGAGGAACTACAAAAAATTATCAAAGAAAATGTTTTAAAATTCACTTTAAATCAAAGAGCTAAAATTGAATTATTGCAGATTATGTCATTGGGTCATGAATCGCTTTACGGGCATAAGGCACAACTAGGAAGTCTAACTCAAAGGCAGAATTTGTCAATCCTTAGCATTATAAGTCCATTATTGAACAATTGGTCTAAGAAATATAAGCATTTATTAGTTCAATCGAACCAAAAAATACTTAATAACATGTCTAATTTGCAACAGCACCTTACTAATCCAGAATCAAAGGTTGCGAAAGAATTGGCTGATGTTATCGATAAGGAATCCTTCATATTTGAGTTTCATTATGCAAAATTATACATATTTTCTTTGGCCCTAAGCCCATCGCCAAAGAATATGTATGATTCCGATAAGAAAAACAAGCGCAAATCAGGTAAAGTCAACTTAAAATTAGACGAAATTTCGAGATCGGCTAAATACATTGAACAAGCATTCAATTCAGCCAATGAAATGTTATCAGTCGCCCACAGAATCCACAAATTAAAGATGTTAAGGTTCATGCCAGTCAGATGGGTTACAAGGATTGTCCGTGCGGTTGCATTTATAGTCAAATGTTATCTTACTATTACTGCTCATAAAAAGACCGCAGATAGTGATGCAAACATAAGTTCCTTCAATGATTTTGATTCTACTATATTATCATTATCGTTAATTTCTATTGAAGAAATTACTGAAAGTATTCAACGTGCGGCAATTACCTTAAGAGATTGTTCACCAGACGAATTGCATCTATGTACAAGATATTCCAATGTGTTGATGTATCTATGCTCAGAGATGAAAGTTAAATCGAAGGGTAGTAATGATAACGATGAAGATATTCATTCTAAACTTAAAAGGCAGAAGGTTCCAAAAGGTTCTCATGGTGAAGAAAATGATGCGACTAACGGGGTTTCAAATCACCCTTTGAATGCAAATGATGAAAATTATGGAAATATACAAAATGAACCCCTTCCATATTATGATAACTCCGTATACTTCAATAAACCAACTAGAAAACTGGATGAATCACAAAGTGCAAATTTGACACCAAACGAAGATAACAATACCCCATTACAAGGATTGATGGGAGATAGTGAAGTTATGGATTGGTTCATAAATAACAAAAATGTGGGGTTGGATTTTGTTGGCCCTTGGACTGAAATGATTGAACAACAGTTGAATTCAAATGAACAGTTTAATTTTGGTGATACCATCTAATTAGTATCATTTACTTCGACCTACATCATTATTATCACCATATAATTATATTTATCCCTCTATATACAAACCAATCTAATATACAATTTATCTAAGAAATCTAGTTAGTGAATACCTCAATTTGAGCTTTAGACTTGTTCTTAGCAGTAACAATACAATAAGAGGCACCCTCTTGCTTACCACTAGATGAACCTTCAACACCGTTGTAACCAGTCTTTGATGGATCGATTTCACAATCTAAACCGTCACAATCACCATCGGCACATGTGACTCTGATACCGAAGTTTGGCTTCTTGTTGCTGAAATCATCGATGTACTTAGGGTTCCAGCCGATCTTAACATATGTTTTTCCTGAATCATCCATGTTGGCACCAGCAACATATGGAGCCCAGTTACCTTGGGCCTTGTCTTTGGTACCCCAGACACATCCATCATCGGTGGAAACACCTGGTGGGTTAATGTAGTAGTGAGCAGCAGTACCATCCCAGTAATCAGAACCTGGAACAGCAAGAGTTTGAGATCCACTTCCGTCGACGTTTGTTGGGATTAACATAGCTTCGTTACCTGGTAAGACAGTTTGACAGAAAGCAACATTATCAGAAGCCTTGTTATTAACTTCAACAGTGCCTTCACCATCAACACAGTAATCTTTGTCAGAATATGGTTTAGAAACAGTACCATCTTGGTTACATTTTAAGCCACCATTTTGAGATTCTGGGTATGAGTATGAAGTAGCAGACTTGTCCCATTGGGCCATCAACTTACCTGGTGGACAAGCGTATGGACAGTAGTTTCCTGCAGTACATTGTTGATCAGGACTCATTGCCCATCCTCCATTGGATGACTTTGGAGTAACAGAAACTAAACCCTTGTTAGATGGGAAGTCACAAGTGTTACCACCTCTCTTATTTAAAGGAGCACCAGAAATAGTTGGAATTAAAGCGATGCTTAAGTAGACTGCGAAATTGGAAAACAACATTTTTTTAAAATATGTAATGAATGAAGTAAGTAGGAATCAAAATACGAATGAATGTAAAGGCTTGTAAAAGCTAACTTGTTATATTAATGAATGTAATGATTACTTAATGGTTTCAAAAAGATATTTGCATCTATCTGTAGATTTGGTCTGGTTTATATACTTTTTTGAATTGTTCTATTTTTCCTACAAATCGTACAATCTACAATGCCATCGACATTGATTTCCCTATCATAGTGGCAAATTTTAATTCTAGAATTGGTCCAGATAGTTGCAAATCTGAAAACTTTTTCGACATTGACAGATGTTTTTTCTTTTTAGCATTCCTCGGTCACATAATATTACCATATTTGGACATAATTATTTGCATAAACGAAATCTTCCGAATTTTGACGAAAGCCGTTGACAGTCCAGATTCGGCCCCGTTTTCTTTTTGCTTTATTCCATTGTAGCCATTATGCATGTCAATTAATCTGATCTTCTAGAAGCGCATCTGATAAACAGCCTTCCATACGAGGCCTTGATAATTTTGCCCTAGTAAAGTTACCTCTACCAGGTCTCTACGAAGAGGGATCTTAAAAGCCATAACTTCGGACGATAGCTGGATACAAGCTACTAGTACAGAACCGAGCTTCCAAAGTTGGCTTTAGTCTTTTTTTACCGAAAAATACTACATAAAGGTGCAATTATCAACTCAGCCTAGCGAGAAAAGAAATTGATAGTTGTTATTTTCTTTCACATGGTTTCTACGAGTATTTCCCCTAATGGATGGTTTAAATCCAGAGAAAGCAATAAAAAAAAATGAGTATTATGAACCCACTGATTGATTTGAACCCAAGCATAATGGTTGCACCCAAGCGAGAAAAAGAAAAGGTCTAGATCTGCTAAACCAAAAAAAACTCTCGCTAAACAAGTCGTATCAACAAACATTATCTAACACTGTATACAAGTAATTGAGACGTGTCAGTTAGTTCACTTAGAAGCTCTTGTAAGGAGCTCTAGGTCTGGAGAGTGATTTGCCAATACTCTTCACCTTGCGAGGCTCAGTTCTAGAACGTCGAAGGGATTGTTTCTTTTTTTTTCCTCCGAATCATACTGATGATACTATTTCTATGCATGTAGGATATTCAGATAGGAGGCTCATATGGGGTGCCTCCATCCCTGCCTCTGGAATGGATTCATTTGAAGGGATTGGTTCGGTAGCATAGCATCTTCAAAAGGTAAAAAAAGAGGTTCCAGATTGTTCACGTGATCTGCGAGAAATTCGTCGTGATGATCTTCAAGTAGTACAAGGATTGTTAGGTGAACTTGATAGCATCTAGCAGCGCAGGGACAAAGCGAAGAAGAGATCCATGTCGTTAGCAAACCAAGTAGAGACCAACTTGGTGCATCATAACCTTTGGAGCGATGTGAAAAGACACGAAATAGCGAACTACAATGATACTAAGATAACAATACTACGAGGAAAACCACCTGCAAAACTAGAGACAGGTGATGAAGATGGCAGCACCGAATGGGTAGTGCCAAAGCTGATGACTTCAAAAAATGATATGAATATTACGGAAATAGACAATTGGTTTGTCCAAATATCACAACTTTCAGATCCTAAAATACGACCACTGAGAATTACAATTGGATTAGTGAACGATGATGCTACAGTAGTGTATTATTTTATACACGACGGTATTGTGAAGCCTCGTCAAAATTAACGATTTTATGAACTATTAGTATATTATTTATGAACTCTGTGTATATCTATAGATTTGAGGTTCTTATATTTAATGCAAATTTATTAAAGCGCTCAATCATAGTTGATTAAACTTTCTAAAAGATATAGTGAGGTACGTTCTGAAATCAGTGAAATAACTGTATTGTAATGCACAAAAGTCTGACATAAGCTTTGTCTACTGGTAGTTTAGCTCATTTTCTGAATCACTTATATATCCACTGTACCTTCTATTATTGGATTCTGCATCGCCAGTGTATTTCATCTCATTGAAATGGTCGCTACCGGTACTATTTGGTATTGCTAGTCTATTTTTAATAACTGACTTTGAGCTGCCATTGCTACTAGTGCTGAATTGTCGTCTCCTGGGTTGTTTCAAGGAAGGCGAAGACCAAGAACCAAAAGATGTTGAAGATAAGTTCCTATTTAGAGGGTTCAATTGATCAGAGCTTTCTAAATTTTTGAAATACTTATCTTTCGGTGCTTTATGTGTAGTTAATTTATTATCTGCTCCAGCATTTTCTTCGTAATTGTCTTCTCTATCGCTATAATAATAATGAAAAGCAGACCTACTAGACGCTTCTGCCCCGAAAAGCGATTGCTCCAACATGTCCGTATCACTGTAGTAAGATCTTGTTCCAGGGGTTCTTTTAGTTGGTTTACTAAAATTTGCCGCCACGTTATTTTGAAAAAACTGTCCAAGTTTATCAAATTCAATTATGAAATTTAAAAGCTCGCCTTCGTCAATTAAATCAGGTCCAAACTTAAATTTTTCGTATGATTCAATCAAGAGCTTTAAATTAGGTACTTGCTTCTTATCTGTATTTGGATCATTTAAATACTTCTCTGATAAAAAAAGGATGATTTCTCGTAACGAAAGATGCATTGGAAGATCAACTTGAGTTAAAACCCTACCGTCAAGTTTGAACCTGACGCCTAAACTTCGTATTACATCTTCATAACAAGCATTTGGCGGTAGTAATGAGCCCTCTCCAGTCCCACTAATATTTCGCCTTTGAACGTACTCTGGGGGAGACATTCCTGGATGATTAATAATTATCTTTTCATTATACAAAGGACCAGCTTTGACTTTTATTTCACTCACACACTCTTTTAGTTTGGCATCAATCGCCTTGACACATGAAGCCAGCATGTCGCCTTCAAATGGAATATATACTGACTTTGATGGTATATCATTCAATGAAACTCTATTTTGGAAAATTCTCAGGAAATATATGATTAATGCAACTACCAAAAACACCACACAAACAATAATCACAATGAACATCTTGATACCAGAATATGAAGATTCAGAAGTCTGCACAATAACATCAATCGGTGTAACTGCGACAAACGCAAGCGTAAGCAACATTAAAAGTACTAATGAAAACGAGTATATCCATCTAAATACTCTCTTAGGGTAATTAAACGAAATAAACCTTGTATTCTCCGACTCTGGATATGCCTCTATATATGTCGAAGTATGCCTTCTTATCGATCTGGCAGGTGAAATTAAAATATTACTTGAAGCAATAGATTCTACTTCATCTTGACTACTAACATCTCTTCGATGTCGTACACTCGTCATTCTTTCAATTATATTACTATATTCCTTTCCTCTATCTAACTATCTTTGTCATTTGTTAATAGCCGCCTACTTCTTAATTGTAGGTTATGGTAATCATTATATATTTTGATGAGATCACGTGTTATGTCTATCAAAGCCTTACTCTTTAATGAAGATAGATTTATATTACAGAATAGAGATAATATACAAATGTTAAGTATGTAAGGTATTTAGAGCAGTAGGGGTTACTTGTCTTCGTCCAGCTACTTCTTAGGAATGTTTTTGTTCGAGTTTGGTAAATTTGAGGCAGGACCACTAGTCGAAGATGACGGTGAAGAAGCTGAGGAAGGTGGCATAGAAGCTAAGTTTGGCGTAGACTGGCCCGGTATATTTGCATTATTGCCTAATCTTTGTTGTTGTTGATGCTTCTGAATGAGTAAATTCTTTCTTTGCTCATATTCTAATTTTGCCATGTTGTTGGGGTCAAGGGGTGCGTTTGGTACCATCGGTGATCCTGACCTACGTTGCTGCTGTTGCTGATGTTGAAGCTGTTGTTGCTGGGCAGTTTTTGCAGCCTTCAACATTTGTAATTGATTTCTTTCCTGTGGAGTCAACGTAGCTACCTGAGGCTTTTTCTGGTTGGAGGGGGATTGAATTTGGCCGGGCCTATGAGTTGGTGGGCCTTGGCCTATTGTTCCCAGATTTTGTAGTTGTGGTTGCAGTTGTTGCTGGTTTGCTCTATTTTGCTGCTGCTGTTGGATGTTTGCCAAATAAGTCGCCGCCAATTTTGTGACCTGTTCTTTAGTCAAATTTGGGTTTTTAGTTTGAATGGAGTTGATGATTGCTGATACTTGAGCAGGGGCAAAATGTATCCGGGATTTATTTGCTGGTACTCCCGTGGACGAGCCTTGTCCTTGTGATGGTTGTGATACAGGGACTTGTTGGCGTTGACCGGGCCCTAGTTGTTGTTTTTGACCTTGCTGCTGCATCGGCACTTGCTGGGCCTGATTAGGCATTCCAGACAAAGGCATATTGCCTGCGCCTACTGTTGTTTTAGTAGAACTGAGCGGCATGTTTTGAATTAATGCAGGACTGTTTGGTTGACTTGGGTTAATTCCTGTCTTTCCAGGTTGATTTTGCTGTTGCATAAGCCTTCTTTGTTTTTGAATTTGTAATAGCTGTTGTATTTGTTCTGCTGTGTATGCAGTTCCATTAGGTGTGGTTGGTCTCTTAGTCATACCACCTTGTGCCACCTGAGGCGGTTGTTGCAGCGAAAGAACTTGATTACCAAGGGATCCTGCTGGGTTATTTGGGGAAGCACCTGGCACACCAATTTGACCTCGTTGTTGTGGTGGAACATTGGCGGCTGGTCCCGGTCCTGGTCCTTGAGATGCTGGACGGCCCACGCTTCCTTGGTTATTTATGTTCTGTTGTTGCTTTTGTTGTTGCGCAACAGCAGCTATCATTCTAGATCTGGTAGCCTGTTGGTTCAAGTATGCTTCTTGGATTGATTTATCTCTCTCAAACTTTAACTTTGAAAGCTCAGCTGGGGTTGGTACACGGTCCATTGGACGCTTTCCATTATTTGGTCCTGGAGTGCCATTATTGGATGCTTCAGGAGAATTTCCATTAGTGTTGTTAGTACTATTAGCGCTGTAGTCGACAGGTGTTCTTCTATGATTCAATTTAGCTATAGCATCTTCCCTCTTTTTCATGCTTTTTCTCATAGCATCAAATAATGAGGCCCAACGTAATCTTCTATGCCCTCTTTGAATAGATTCGTTACCAACACCTAATGGTGAAATTCTTCTTTTCGTAGTCAGTTGAGCTCTATGTGCATGTTCTAACCACAGTTGAGCCTGGTATGAATAAATACCCTTCATATCAGAGAATTGAAACTTCTCGTTTAATTGAATGTATCTCTCAAAGCATTGCCATGGAGTTCTTCTTTCAATGTTTGATTCATATTTTCTAAGTGTAGCAGCTGATGGCAGTAAGTGTTCAGAAATTAAATCCCAGTTAAAGCAGAATTCTGCAACATAATGAATTAAATATTTGTCATCTTGTGGTAACCAAATCGTAGGAGATCTAAATTCAATATTTTTAATTAATGGAGGCTTTGGAGGCTTCAAATAATTGAAACGACGGTGAGATTGGAATCCAAAAAGACCCTTTTGGTATTCTGGAGGGCCATTGGAAACACTGGATTTCGATTTATGGCTATCTCCCTCTTTAAGGACTATTTTATACCACTCGTCATCTTCTTCAAATGGATGCAAGAGTCTTGAAACTGCTATCATTGGTGAGTCTACAGGTTTTAATGCTGGTGCAGGCATATTGCTGTCTTCATTATCAAAAGCAGTAAATTTTGGCAAATTCTTAATAATGGATTGGTCAATTTTCTTTAAATCATTAAGATTTGCATGCAACTTGAACGGAGCAGAGTCTTTTGAATCGCGCCCCATTTCCTTCAAATCATTCTCCGTGAATGTTGGTAGGCTAGGTGGAACAATCTCATCCTCTGGTTTAGGTCTAGATAAAAGCAACTTCACATCAATGGAAGAAAGTTCTACTTCTTCTTCTGGTTTTTCTGAGGTGCTCATTTCATCTACCAGTTTATCCAGAGACGAATCTTCTACTACCTTAATATCTGCTACTTCTTTTGAATTAATATCTTCTTCTTCTTCTTCAGGCTGTGGCTGCTGATTGTCTAACATTGGTTCAAGAGATACTTTATCATCGCCCACTGCTGTTGTATTCTGCAGCTCGTTATCTACAAGTTCCGAAGGAGCGCCTTCATTATCTGCCTTTATATCATCAACAGCCATAGAATCGGAACCTTCAATCGGATTATTTTCAAGTTGTATTTCTTCCTCTTCCCTTTTCTCGCCTATATGCCATATTCTCTTCCTGCGAATGCACATCACTTTACCATACGTCCAATAATCATTAACAGCCTGTGCCATAGCGACACAACAAGCCTTTTTGTATTTCAAGCCTTCTTTAAAATCAGCTGCCATCCATTTTCCTTCTTCCAAAAGACTATCACCATGGAAAGTTTTCTTTTCGTTGTTGCCCTTAGCATAAATATACGGATCATAATATCTCTTGGGCTGTCTTAATGACCATTTACCCTGCCTCTTTAATTCTTCAATTCTTGAATATAATACTGCAATCTTTCCCTCAAGTAAAGCAAGCTCGTAATTTTCAGTTATTAATGTCTTATGGCTTCCTGGCAACAATTTGATCAACGGTAAAGTCTGGGTGAGATAATATAGTTCCGCCAAAGATGACACATTTGGAAGTTTCGTTGGATAGTGCTCGGGAACTGACAAGATCTCTAATTCACTAATATCCCTATCTAGGAAATCCCTTGTTTCAATATGGATATTTTCTTGTTGCGATTCAACTGCTGGAGCGACGGCTACTGGTTTCGTGATTTCCAATGTCGATTTAGGAATACTGGCCGACCGTGAATCACTCAATTGTGAAGAACTGTGTCTCGAAACTTTAAGCTTTCTTTCGTCTGTAACCGACGTAGCCCTTCTTTTCAATCCTTGTTCACTACTGGTGTCTTCCGTGCGTTCCTTAGTCTCCTCGACTTTATAAATGCTCCTGGAAACAGATTGCAGCATAGCTTCCGCAAAACTTCCGCTCCCCGATACCCCTGGCAACGATGAAACTACAAATGTTTTCTCCTTTGTAATATCATTATCATTCAAGAATTCGCTCACTCTAGACTTATGACTAGATATATCAGTAAGCAAAGGATCAGCTGCGAGATGAAGCAACTCTTCTAGCTTGTTATTCCTTTGCTTCAAAATCCCATCAGCTTCCTCCTTTATCATCATAGAAGGTATAGATATCGATGTACGAAACCAACGTTTATGATACCTAGACGCCAACTATACGGATTTACATTGAAAAAAACAAATGCACGTGATAACAGTAACGAATATCACTCGTCGATTATACGAGATGACATTATCTACAATGATGTCTAATCTTTATATATGATTTACTTGGTAAACTGAAAATGGATAGACTATTGTGGTATGGTTTATATATCAACTTCTTTGAAAAGTAAGGCATTCTAACCAATCTAGGTGGGTCAATGGGTTAAAATTC